GTTCACGATGGGAAAATTTTTGATAAATAAGGTGATAAATAATACAAGTGAGTTAATGATAATGAGGTTCAAATGTTTTAGATTTTGAAAACAGATCAAAGTGAGACATCACTGTTACAAACAATCTTTGCTATATTGTCTGTGTAAATGATAATGACCCGCACTTGTATAGCGCCTCTCAGAGTAAGGACTCCAAAGTGCTTTACACTACTGTGTATCATTCATCCATTCACACACACATTCACACACTGATGGTGATGAACTACGATGTAGCCACAGCTGCCCTGGGGCGCACTGACAGGCGAGGCTGCCGTGCACTGGCGCCACCGGTCCCTCCGACCACCACCGGCGGGCAAGGTGGGTTAAGTGTCTTGCCCAAGGACACAACAGCAGAATTCTCTGTCCGGAGCCGGGATCGAACCTGCAACCTTCCGATTACTGGACAACGCGCTCAACCTGTTGAGCTACTGCTGCCCCGTTGTGTAAAACACAACAGAGCAAACGCTCTGAACTCAGACCTATCATTGACGTAGTTTCCGTCTCCTATGCTCCCATCCTGGTGTGTTTATCTTACATTTAGAAATGAAAGAATTAACAGATCATGAACACGCTGACACCATGTTCAAGCATTAAGGTGTCAATGTGCTCTTGGCACCAGGAAACCTTGGGCTGCAGTTTGATGATTGACTTTGTTGCCGTTTCATCTGAACTGCGACCGCATGTCTTGAACACTCAGGTGAAGAGAGGGGCGGAGCTGTCAACTGACCACTATCTGGTGGTAAGTTGGCTTCAATGGTGGGGAAGGAAGCAGGTTAGGCCTGGCAGGCCCAAACATATTGTGAGGGTCTGCTGGGAATGTCTGGCGGAGTCTCCAGTCAGAAGGAGCTTCAATTCCCACCTCCGACAGAACTTCGAACATGTCCCGAGGGACGCGGGGGACATTGAGTCCAAGTGGAACATGTTCCGTGCTTCTACTGTTGAGACGGCTGATCGGAGCTGCGGCCGCAGGGTTGTTGGTGCCTGTTTAGGTGGCAACCCCAGAACCCGTTGGTGGACACCGGAGTTTGGTGAGACCATGGAGCAAGACTCTGGCTTCGAAGAGATTCTGGTCAACCATCCGGCGCCTCAGGAGGGGAAAGCAGTGTGCTACCAACACTGTTTACAATGATGACAGTGTACTGCTGACCTCTGCTCGGGACGTTGTGGATAGGTGAACGGAATATTTTTGAAGACCTCCTGAAGACCCTGGTAAAGTCTATTCAGGGGTTCTGGAGAGGAGGGTCGGTCGGTCGGTCAGATTGTCGAAACTCAGATTCAGGAGAAACAATGTGGTTTTCGGCCTGGCTGTGGAACACTGGACCAGCTCGATACCCTTAGGGGGATCTTGGAGAGTGCATGGGAATTTGCCCAACCAGTCTACATGTGTTTTGTGGATTTGGAGAAGGCCTTTGACCGCGTCCACCAGGGGGCCCTGTGGGGGGTACTCCGGGATTATGGGGTACCAGGCCCTTTGATACGGGCAGTTAGGTCTCTGACCGACTGTTGTCAGAGCTTGGTCGCATTGCCGGAAGTAAGCCAAGCTTGTTTCCGGTGAGAGTTGGACTCCGCCAAGGCTGCTCTTTGACACCGATTGTGTTAATAACTTTTATGGACAGGATTTCTAGGCGCAGCCAAGGTGTTGAGGGGATCTGTTTTGGTGGCCTAAGGATCGGGTCTCTGCTTTTTGCTGATGATGTGGTCCTGTTGGCTTCATTGGGCAGTGATCTTCAGCTTTTGCTGTAGCGTTTCACAGCAGAGTGTGAAGTGGCTGGGATGAGAATCGGCACCTCTAAATCTGAGACCATGGTCTTAAATCAGAAAAGGGTAGAATGCCTTCTCCGGATCAGGGATGAGATCCTGCCTCAAGTGGAGGAGTTTAAGTATCTCAGGGTGTTGTTCACGAGTGAGGAAAGGATGGAGTGTGAGATTGATAGATGGATTGGTGCTGCGTCTGCAGTGATGCAGGCATTGTACCGATCTGTCGTGGTGAAGAGAGAGCTGAGCTAGAAGGTGAAGCTCTTGATTTACTGGTTGATTTATATTCCTACTCTCCCTTATGGTCGCGAGCTTTGGGTAGTGACCGAAAGAACGAGATCGCTGATACAAGCGGACGAAATGAGTTTTCTCTGCAGGGTAGCTGGGCTCTCCCTTAGAGATAGGGTGAGAAGATGGGTCATCCGGGAGGGGCTTGGAGTAGACCCGCTGCTTGAGAGGAGCCAGTTGAGGTGGATTGGGCATCTGGTCAGGATGCCTCCTGGGCGCCTCCCTGGTGAGGTTTTCCGCGCACATCCAACTGAGAGGAGACCCAACGGAAGACCCAGCACACGCTGGAGGGACGATGTCTCTCGGCTGGCCAGGGAACGCCTTGGGATTCCCTGGAAGAGCTGGCCCAAGTAGCTGGGGAGAGGGAAGTCTAGGCGTCTCTGCTTAGGCTGCTGCCCCCGCGACCCAACTCCTGATAAGTGGCTGAAAATGGATGGATGGATGGAACTTGCTGATGTTGCTTTATACGTTTGTACCTTGGAGAACAGTTGTCTTTGTAAGTATCGATGTGTTTAGGGAATGTTTGGGCGTGTGTTAAAGTTACTTATTTGATAAAATGTACGCAGCGTGAGTGTACTCATGCTAAGCGAGGATAATTGCTAAGTGCAACAATAAGATGTGTGTATTAGACAGAAATGTATTTTTTCTGTTTCTGTATATTGTAGTTACGGTGATAAAATATTCATAAAGATCTTTTAAGAAAAGCAAGTCTTGGGTGGAATTTCTTGCTTGTTTTAGTTGTTTGCTAGCTGCTCTACACATGGCTACGTGCTCTAAGAACAGCTGATCCTCAATATAGGTCGAATTCCTAATTATTCACAAGTTGTACCAAATAAAACTAAAATATCTCAAAAACTAAACCTCAGATCTGTCGCATTTTGGCATTTTGAGAGATAAGAGATGAAGCTGAAGAGTTTGATGTATAATATGTGCATGATATCTAAAAGTTGGGTCACTAATGGTGTAAAAACCGATACCGATATTTTCTGATATTACATTTTAAGGCTAATGTCGGTAGACCGATAATATCGAACACCCTTACACAAAATAATACTGTTTTACCAACAAAATGTTGAATCTCTTATTAATAATTATTTTAGACTTGACACAGCTTTAGTCCTCGATTGCCCACTTTCTTCATTTTTAATCACAAATTGCACCAGTTTCTATCTCAATAGGCACAAGAACGTAGCCAAAAAGTGAAAAAGCAGCTTAAATGCTGAGAAAATGTTGGGAGACTCACAGAATGCCTGCTCCAAACCACTTTACAACAATGTCTGGCAGCAAAACAAAAAGAAAACTTTAGCACACTGTACAAACGCATCCTTGAATATTTTTAAAATAAAGTGAGATGCAGATTCGGTCTGGCTTGAGCAGCTCATTAGATTCATGATGACTAAAATAAACTTCCAGTCGAAACGTTACTGGCATTTACTCACATGAGTTTGAGCATGATGAGAGACAGTGCTCATAAAAGATGTTGATCACAACCCAAAAACAGACAAAAGAGCCCATCAGAAACCATCTATCAGAAGGGGCCTCTGGAAGGAAAGCAGAAAGAGAAAGGGGAGACTCAGGAGGTCTCTGAGGAGACAAGCTTGTGAAAATTGGGGTCAGCAGCTTGTATAGATGGAGCACATCTTCCTGCTCCATCGCCCCCCGCCCCTACTACCAGCTCCAGCATATAAACGGTTAAACACCCGTACAGTAATACTGTACCATCATGTACCCTGTTTCCACAACATGTCCTCCCTCCCCTTGTCCTCCCATCTCCCTCTGTGTCCTTCTGTCTCCAACAGGGTTGCTGACACATGAACCCCAGCAGGTGCTGGACGCTCCAGGGAGACACCGCCTCTAATTGGTCCTCAGTGGAGTCACAGCTGTTGCCCCCAGCCACAGCCCGGTATGAGCTCCAGCTCCTGCCCCTCAATCGACAGCTCACTATTGTCCTCCAGAGAGGCTACGCCGAGCTCCGATCTATCATGACGACTACCCACGCTAACCACACAGTAGCTGCTCCCCAATGTCACCTCATCATCAGACAGGCATGACCTTTAACATGTCTCCATAGGAATCATATTATCTTTCTAAAAACGTTACTGCTTCAAGCACTGATTCAAAAGTCCAGCATCTCAACTATGCTCACGTTTTTCTGTCAAGGTCAAAAAGACGGCAGATTAAAACAGATCACTCTTGAGTCAGATCAGCTCACACTGCAACATCCAACACACACGCGCGCACACACACACACACAGTCTCTGTTTAGGAGCAAACAGCACTTAAAGGATTTGTTCAGACATGCAACGTTAAAAGAATTACGACGGGTGAAAATGACAAACGAGCTATCTATCATCAACCTTATATATATATAGTTATGTATGATTACAGCAGGATAACAAAATGCCTTTTAAATAAACATCAGCTCCTCATTCTGACTCTGATTAGGCTGTAAAAGTTTATCATAATTCAATTAAGTCTTTCATTGGCAGGGAGGGAGGGTATCATAAGCAATTATGGGCCATGATCAGTCTGCCCAGTGGCGTGCGGATCCCACAGGACGCAGACACGCTCAGACAGTCATTTATATTCAGACAATAGACAGAACCAGACATGTGTATAAACAGCCGCAGGTTAGGAATCCAAAGCAAATTATTACGTGATTAAGAAAGATTATTCAGATAGTTTTATAAACTACTGTTCGGAAGACGATGGGCCTTACAGTTAATTCCTCACTCGTGAATATTTCTATTGGAGGTGAGTTACTCTGGAATAATAAAACGGCTCCTTCTCCTGTGAAAATGTGAGGGAAGACATGAAGCGCGTGAATGAAAACAGATATGCTACACTAAGCCCAGTCTCTTATTACTGCACTGTGCTGCACTCATTGGGTGGAGTCAACAATTATCTAACGGTCTCACCTGACACCGAGATCCTCATGGAGGCCTCCAGAGGCCGGTTGTTATCCAGTGCCTGGCTCAGCTGAATCTCCCCCGTGCTTTGGTTCAGGAGGACGAGGTTCAGCTCGTTTCCAGCCTCAAAGCTGTAGTGGAGCTGGTCCGAAACATCCGGGTCGAAAGCAGGGATGCGTCCGATCACTCCCGTGGGAAAGCTGCTTGACTTGTCCGTTACGTAGTTATTAAAGATGATCTGGAAGTTTTTAAGAACAGGTACGTTGTCGTTCTTGTCAACGAGTTTAATGTGAACGGTGGCCCGGCTGACCAAAGGAGCAGAGGTGGCCTGGACCACGATGACGTACTCAGACCTCAGCTCGTAATCCAGATCTATTAATGCAGTCAGTTCTCCAGAGAATATGTCCAACTGAAACACCTCTGGGATGTTCCCTTCCACTATCTGATACATAATCTGCGCATTACTGCCTTCATCTGGGTCCGTTGCTAATATGTGTGCAACCACAACACCTATAGGGCTGTTTTCCTCCACCATGATGTCAAACTCATCCTTTTCAAACACAGGAGGGTTATCATTCACATCCAGGATTGTTACATGTATGTGCACTGGTGTTTTCAGAGCAGGAACGCCTTTATCTACAGCAAAAGCCTGCAGGCTGTAAACAGGCACATTTTCTCTGTCTAGTCTGCGCAGCGTGCGTACGATGCCAGAGGTAGATTCAATTATGAAGTCCCCATCTCCATCCTCCCCTCCCTGGAAAGTGTAGAAAACCCGCCCGTTGAGCCCGGAGTCTCTGTCGATGGCGGAGACCTGCACCACGCTGGTGAACACCGGCACATCCTCCATCACAGAGCCCACATAGTGGTCTCTGATGAAACGAGGGGAGTTGTCGTTTACGTCATTCACCAGTATCTCTAGATAGGTGGTGTCAGATTTCTGCGGGATGCCGTTGTCCCGAGCTGTGATGGCTAATGTGTAAGAAACCTGGTCCTCGTAGTCCAGCTCTATCTGTGTGGTGACAGCTCCTGTGTCTGGGTCAATGTCAAACTGAGGAATGTTGTCATCCATAAAATAGGTGATGCGTGCGTTCTCACCTGTATCTTCGTCTGTGGCACTTATGACAACCACAGTGGTGCCAACAGCTCGATCCTCATTAATGTTGACCGTATAATGTGAGCTCTGAAACACGGGCCGGTGTGTGTTGGCATCGGTGACATTTACGAACACCTTAGAGGTGTCAAAGAGGGTACCATCGCTAGCGGTGACTGTGAGGACGTATTGGCGTTCTAGCTTGTAGTCTAAGGGCAGCGCCAGGGTAATCAGACCGCCTCCGCTTTGACTTGTGATGGAGAACCTGTTCCGAGTGTTTCCACTGGATATCTGATAAGTCACCACACTGTTGATGTCCTGGTCCACAGCTGATACTGTCACCACACTGGTGCCCACAGCTGCATCCTCATTCAGACGCATGTAATATGCTTTCTGAGTGAACTCCGGGTTGTTGTCGTTTACGTCTAGAATTGTCATGCTGATGCTAGCTGAGGATGACATGAGAGGGTAGCCGTGGTCGCGGGCCTCCACTCCAAAGTTGTAAAAATCTACACTCTCTCTATCCAGCTCTGCCGCCACTACAATCCATCCAGTGCTGTTGTTGATGGAAAAGGGAAAGTTTGGTGTGGTTTCAGTGAGGCGATATTCCAGCCTGGAGTTTTCCCCCGAGTCTGCGTCTACAGCTTGGATGTGGATGATGGAGTAACCCAAAGGCACATTTTCCAGTACAGTTGCCTGAAATGGGGTGCTGACAAAAATGGGGGCGTTATCGTTGACATCCAGCACCTGTACTGTAACCAAGCCACTGATGTTGGACAGCGGAGGCCGTCCTCCATCCTGAGCTCTGATCCTTAGGGTGTATTCTTTGTTGGCTTCGTAATCCAAGTGACTCACCAGGTCCAATTTACCTGTCTGAGCATCAATGTAAAACTGACCGCGTGTGTTTCCGCTCATGATGCTGAAGTGGACCATAGCATTGTTTCCTCTGTCCTGATCTGTGGCTGTAACCTGTAAGATCTCAGTATTAGGGGTCATGTCCTCAGGCACCTGGACCACGTAGCGTTTCTCACTGAACTGAGGAGCGTTGTCGTTGTCATCTTCCACCACAATGTGAACAGTAGCAGTGGCGCTGCGGGGCCCTGGGTCACGACCCTGGTCATTTGCTTCAACTAGCAACACATAGGCCTCCACCTCCTCTCTGTCTACCAAACCTTTCGTTCGGATTACACCGGACCTGGAATCTATCTCAAATGCATCATTGGACCCATTACTGTTAAGGATGTGGTAGAGGATGTTACCATTAGCAGGTGCATCCCCGTCAGTAGCCCTCACAGTCAACACCTCATAGCCTATTTCTAAGTTCTCCCTGATGCTTTCTTTATAGTCTTGCTGCTCAAACACAGGATTGTGATCATTGGTGTCACTGACTGTGATGGTGAGGGTGGCCATAGCTGTACGCCGGGGTGTGCCATGGTCAACTGCAGTCACACGAAACACATGGGTGTCTTTAGTCTCCCTGTCCAGCACCTCTACCGTCGAGACAACACCGCTTGAGGGGTCCACAGCAAAAAGATTGTTAGAGCGGCTGTCAAAGAGAGCCTCTATAAAATACTCCAGCCTGCCCGCCTCCCCCTCATCCACATCCACAGCTTTCAGAAGAACTACCGAAGTGCCAACCGGCCTGTTTTCTGAAGCGGACACTTGGTACATCGGGGGCTGAAACTGGGGGCTGCTGTTAATGCTTCTCCTCCTCCTGCTCACGATACCTGAATCTGACTGAGCTGCCCTTTCTAAGACTTCCTGTATGTGTGCCTGCATGAAAGGACCCTGCCCCACGCGCCAGTGGATAAAAACTGTATAAACATTTAGTCCACTTCCTGTGAGTATATCACAGAGCATGTCCAGCTCCACGAGGGTTTCCTGTCTCCAGCACAGAGTCTCGGACACAAACAAGCCCCCCTCTGAGAAGTAAAACTCGGGATTGTTGACGACCTTGCAGCGGAGCGGGGGACCAGGCAGCAGACCTCCCACTGGAAATAAAACTGCGTCTGCTTGGTGGCACTCTGAGCTGTGGCGGCTTAACAAACTCAGGACCTCCATGTCCCACTGAGGTTTCCTTTTACGCATGTGTGAACAGTTCCTACCGTGCACATGTACATCGTACTGACTGGTGAGGAGGTGCCTGTGGCCGGAGTCCCTGCAGTCTGCCACAGTGTACAAAGTGAACGGGTTTGACGGCAGCAGGGCGCAATTTATGGAGTCCGAAACAAACACGACGCCCGCCGCCGCGTCAGTCTCCAGAAAGCGCTCCGTGAACTCCGGCGCCAGCACCTGATCCAAACTGCACCGTGCGCCACGCTCCTCCTCCCCGGTCACCACGGTCCTTAGTCCCGCATCCTCGCCGATATGAACGGTGTAACAGCGCACCAGCGAAACCAGTTTACACCACAGCAAAATCAGTCGCAAATCCTGTTTAACGAAGTGCATGGCTCCTCGGTTTGAGTTCAGCCGCGGACAAAAGTGCCAAATGCTGCGGCTCCTTATTTCTTTAAACTTTCCTCCAGCAAGTTTCCCTTTGTTGCAGAAGAGCCATGCTCTCAGCGGGCGCTCCGCGGGGCGAAGAGGAGAGGAGGGGGGGTCCAGCAGTAACCTTGGCCGGCCGGAGCAGCTCTCACATGGACGGACTCATTCACACCGACCGGATCAGCAGCAGCAGCACCTCCGCTCGGTCCGCGTAACTTTCCTAGAATGATGGAAAAATGGCTCCTGTTCCCCATGCGCCTTGAGACGTCTCATTAACATAAACCAGTGTGTGTGTGTGTGTGTGTGTGTGTGTGTGTGTGTGTGTGTGTGTGTGTGTGTGTGTGTGTGTGTGTGTGTGTGTGTGTGTGTGTGTGTGAGAGAGAGAGAGAGAGAGAGAAAACAGAACTGCTGTGAGTCTACGGACGACACAAACCCTGCCATAGAGATAAATAGCAACTTCCTCAAAGCTTCATTAAGATGAACACAGACCAGCAGGACTTCAGACTGGGATTAATGAGTTTACTTTTCAGTTTGCTCCACACTGGTCTCACATTTAGCAAATGCATTGTGTTTTTATGGTTTTGAATACAGCAAAACACTTAATCCTGATCTCAGTTACACAGATCTAAGAAATGGTAGCACATCATCCTCCCGAATCTTTACCTTCTCACCACCCCCACTTTCTACTTTGAGAAACACTATTAGAGACTGCTGGCTTTAAAAGAACAAAGCAAACAAGGCAAGCCAGTTATAACAGTGAGACCGGACTAAAGGTGACCCAAATATTTCAGATGAATACATTTACCACATTCATTGTAAACACGGTTACTATAAAGGGATGATGAAATATTTCAGACGCTAAAAATACATTTTAGATTTGTAAAGTACACCCTATAGTGCTTATTATGAGGTTTTGCAAAAATACACCGTTTATGGCAGCATTTATTTTTTTGTACTGTTATCACCACAGCACAGTGGATACAGAACCATACCATACTATACCATACACCATGTCCTATTTATAAAGCAAATATGCGATTTAAACTTAATTTGGTGGACTGTGATTTATTTCTATTCATACTACTGCTGGTATGCTGTTTGGTTTCTTTTGGGATGTTGGGATGTTATATCTTGAACTACAGCTATAAAAAGCTCTACAGCTAAAACCAGTGCATTTACAGAAATGTTGTGCATTGTTGCTATTCAAATAGGTTAATAAAATAAAATATTGATGTGTTACGCAGCTTTTTATGCTGGTGAACCAGTTGCATGAGATAGTGAGTGTATGTGTGAGCTGCTGGTGCTAAGTTGCTGTTATTTTGAAGTTAAGAATAAACCAAGACAGCTAATAACTGCCTTATTTTTCACCATAAATCACCACATGCTACATCAGTGTATGCTTGTGTGTGTGTGTGTGTGTGTGGGGGGGGGGTGGAATGAGGGAGGGGTATAGATGGTGGGAGGGGGTAAGGTTTAGTTTAAAGCAGAGCTGTGTGTAATGTTTACACGTTTGTGTAGCAAGCAGGTGCACCATTTTCTAAAGCCATCAGATTCTGTGACCTAGTTACTATAATAAGAAAACAAAAAAGGGATTATTATAGCAATTTATTAGACAAAAATAAAAATAATATCAAAGCAACTTGGGGAATACTAAATAGTGTAACAAAAAGAAATAAAACAGCTTCAACTGTTCCACGATACTTTGTAAATGGACAGTCGGAATCTAGTGAAACTAACACAATAGTAAACGAATTTAACAATTACTTTACTAATGTGGGACCAAACTTAGCAAACAACATTCCTAAAAGAACTAATTATAACATCAGTGGAAAAATAACAAGTAATAAAAATAGTATACTTCTGCATCCAGTAACTAGCGATGAAATAAGAATCATTGTAAATAAATGCAGAAAATAAAAGAACTACTGACTGTAACGATCTAGACATAACATTAATAAAAATATAATAGAAAATATCATCCATCCCTTCACTAACATATGTAATTTATTTTTTACAACAGGAACATTTCCGGATAACATGAAAATAGTGAAAGTCATACCAATATACAAAAGTGGTGAAAAACACACTTTTTCCAATTGCAGTCCTTATCGCAATTTTCAAAAATATTAGAAAAACCATTTATTACTAGGCTAGATGAATTTCTGACAAAAAATATAATAAACAACAGTCAATATGGTTTTGGAATTAATCATTCAACTTCCATGGCACTAATGGAACTAACAGAAGACATATCAGAAGTCAATGACAAAAAGAACCATTTCATAAGTATTTTTAATAAAAATATTTATATATTTATTGATTTAAAAAAGCGTTTGATACAATAGATCATGAAATTCTTCTTAAGAATCTTAGTAAATATGGTATCAAAGCAATGGCTCTAAAATGGTTAACAAGTTATTTGAATGACAGGAAACAATATGTACAAATAAATGACATTAAATAAAATCTACACGATATTATTTGTGGGGTACCACAAGGGTCAGTACTGGGTCCGAAACTATTATGTATATAAATGATATTGCTTCTATATCAAATATATTAAAATGTATTCTATTTGCGGATGACACTACCTTTTATTATGCAGGAGATAATATCAAACAGATGGTAGAAACAGTACAAACTGAGATGAAAAAAAATAAAATTATGGCTTAATGGGAATAAATTCTCATTAAACACTGATAAACCATGTTTCATGATATTTAGTAAAAGTAACTCGAATAATACAAGTCTATTAAATGTAGATGATATTAATATTACAAGAGTAAAAGAAGTAACATTTTTGGGAGTTATAATCGATGATACTGTATCTTGGAAGCCACATATAAACAATGTGAAAACTAAAATAGCTAAATCCATGCTGTAGTTCTTTTTTTAAAACACGGAGCAGAGTTGTTTTCCCGCTACGGTTTATCCTCTGCTGCCTGCGGATAAACGGAGATGGAAGTGACGCCACCATCAGCGTCAGCCTGAGGAAGTTTGCAGCCGCAAACGAAACGTAGCGGGAAAACAGGTAAACAAAACTGCTCTGTGTTTTAAAAAAGAACTACAGCATGGAATTAGAGATATGACACAGCAAGAACACACCTAACATGTTCAAAATAAAATAGCTAAAACAATTGCAATGTTAGAGTAAAATGGTCACTGGATGATAACTCCCTATATTTATTATATAACTCACTTATTGCACCATATTTGAACTATTGAATAGAAATCTGGGGCACAACATATAAAACTTATACAAATTCTATCTATATATTGCAAAAAAAAAAGCAATAAGAATCATTACAAGGAGTAATGACAGAGGTCCATCTAACCCGTTATTCATAAAAACAAAAACATTAAAATGCTATGACCTAGTGGACTACAATATTTCTACATTTATGTATAATGCAAACAAAAAAACCCTTCCTAAAAATGTACTTAGAAGATTTATAAAAAACAGAGTAAATATGAGCTAATAGGACAGGAATTATTTACAATATCTAAGCATAGAATAATTATAAAGGAGCACTGTGCCTCTATATATGGAGTTAAAATATGCAATAAGCTAGGTAATGTAATCAAGGATGCAAAAACAATATTTACTTTAAAAAACTAATTAAAAATGAAATACTGGAATCATATACGTGCAAATCAATTATATATAATAAATAAATAAATAAAATAAAGCTATAGAGATGTGCGTAGGTATATTCATGTGTGTATGTATAAATATGTATGTATGTATGTATGTATGTGTATGTGTATATGTAGTGGATACATGTGTATGTCTATATGTATATGTATAGATGAAGTATGTGCGAGCATATGGGCATGCGATGCACTTTAATGTATACATGTATGAATAGGTATATGTGCAAAAATCCTTTTGCTTTATGTATTATTATTATTACTATTAATTTTCTCTTTATTCTTTACAAAATGAACTCAAGTTAGCTAACCAGTCGAGCAATTACTTTGTATAGGCTAATTTATAATTATTGTTATTTCATTGTAAAAATGTCGTTTTAGTTAAAAAGGGGCAGATAACATAAGTTTTCTTCTTTCTGTTCCCTTTTCATTTTCTTGGTTTGAGAAACCTCAATTTATTTGTTAGTATTGTTTTTTTCTATTTTAATAATAAATGAAATTAATAAAAAATAAATAAATAAACCTATGGGGGCAGCCTGAAAAAAAGAGGGTTGGACCTTTGATTGTTTTTCCAGGATGAAGCTTGCTTCAATTACTTTTTAAATAATACATACAGCACATTTAATAGATCATTTTCAACAAAGTAGGTGAACAGATGCCTATCTCTTTTAGAAAGCAGCTGAAAACTAATATGTGGCTTTTGTATGAATTACTGTTCACCTTCTTCTTCCATAGATTTTCATGTTGGTGTTTCTATCATTTCTGTATTTTTCAGGCTCCCATGTTTAACTTTTTCATTTTTATTCTTGTTTTATTGTGATTTATTTCTCTTTTTTGATCATTATCTTTTTAAAATCCCTTTAAAATTGTTTTGTGCTTGTGAAGCACCTTGTTATATTTATCTAGAGGGTTATTAAAAAACATTGTGCCTTTTCTTCCTCTTTCTATTAAACAAATGTATGAATTACAACAAAAATCTAATAAATGTGATGGCATTAGGTATCTCATGGGGCAATAAAATGTAATTGTCATACAAAATTTTGAATAAATTGTCCTTACATGGCAAAATGAATCTTATTCTTCTTTCTAGTGAAGATAAAGTGAAGCATTTCTTATGCTACAACTTGCTGGTGAATTGGAGAACTTTCCCAGATTTGATGAACTTTGAAGGGCTCACTGCTGACTTCCACTGGCCTTTTATGAAAGCCTCACAATCTGCTTTGACTTGAATCTCTGATGCATCTAACTTGAGTTAGACTGAGTGAGTGTGCCTCTTGCAGGGATCCTCTCAAAGGATATGGCAGTTGTGACTTCAGCTGAAACACAGTCATCTGCTGACTCCTACTGGCATTTTGAGCTAATTGCAGCATCTAAGATGTGACCAAGTGTTTATCGAAGGGCTCTAACTGAGGGAGCATCTAATGCATGCTGAAGCAGAACTCAGTTGTCTCGCTTGTCTAACAATGAGAGGTTTTGTCTTTCCATTTCAGTTTTATCTGTGCAGCTTTTGTGCAATCTATTTAAAAAACCGTTTTGTGTGGCCATTTCTTGGATGATGACATAATTCATTTTTTGGCATCTTACCATTGACTGGAGAGGTGGTTCATGGTTGTGAAGTCGGGGTCAAGAGTTTCAGAGGGGACAGTTTGCTTCCTTGGATCCAACTGTAACACTTGTTTAACCCTCCCACTGTCTTTATGTGTGACCCCGCGAGGAAAGTTGACCATTGAGCAGGATTGATGG